TGGGATGCATACTTAGAAGGAGAAAAAAGTTGCAACATTTCCAAAATCCTAAGAAGATGAGAATGCAAGCATTCTCTGTTGGTTTATTTTGTTGGTTTCTAGTTTCCATCAGGATCCTTAACTCCTCATATTTGAATTTTGCAACTATCCACAATTCTGAAAAGAATTAAAGAAACTAATCAGAAGTCAATGCATTTTATGGTAGCTATTTCATATTGAGCTACAGCCTTTTGTAATTAAATTATTCCCAGACAACATAGATTAACTCATGGATGAATTGGCATAGTTTTGTCATTGAAGTATGTATTTCTTCAGGCTGCTTCACGGGCAGGGTGGGAATGCATGCCTGTTTCACTGAGACTTAGGACAAGAGGCCAGCTACAGACACTAAGGCCTGATCCAGAATTCTGGCCCCTTCTGAGCCAAGGTGGCACAGGCAGAGGTGGCGGAGGTGAGCTCGCTGCAGGTTTGTGCCGGACCAGTGCAGTTCAGAGCAGTCTATTCTGCAGACCGCTTGACACAAGGGAAAGGGAGAGTGAATTTGTCATTGTCCACAGCCCTGCTGAGCATTGTCTTGACAGCTTCTGCTCTGAGGGGGAGATGAGCACCCTGCTTCCTGTTCGTGGAGGAACCTGTGCACCCCAGCTCAGGCTCTTGGTCCCCTCCCTCCACACCTCAATCCGGCGCTAGGTACAAAGGCTTGCTTTCATGTTGAGCTGTCACCCCAGGTCCTGGAAGTTTAGGTCATGTCCTGCTAAGCAGGGGCCTCCCTGGCCAGGAAAACAGTTTCAGGAGTCCAGCTGTGCCCCTGACAACCCAGAAAGTCCTGTACACAGAGGGTACCCCACTGCCCCACCCACCCCGACTCAGCTCCCTCCATGTCCCCAGTGAGAGCAGGAGGTTCACTCACTTCTCAACTTTGCACCCCAGTTGCCCCTGAAATGCCCCTGGACAAGAAGGCAAATATGACAGAGGAATGCTAGACCTGCAGCCCACAGGCTTGGCAGTCTGAGCACACTGTCCCTCTGGGCTACGAGAAGAACACAGCCCAAGGCAGCCTTCGTGAAACCCATGACTCATTACCATTCTTATCTCTTGTGCGGGGAGGGAGCCCAGGGCCTGGTGCATGCTGGGCAACACTCTTGTAGTGAGCCACATGCCCATCCTCAACCATCACCTGTTTAAAACTGGGTACGCTAGAAGCACCCAGGAATCCTGCAGGGCAGTCGAGCTGACTCCATGCCGGACTCCTGGAAATGTGAACTCTCAGAGGTGATTGGTGGGAAGGAACAGTGACTGCATCTTGATACAGGCTGGAGCTGGCCTCATCTGCCTGGGAGACCCTGTGTGTCAGTTCCCTCTCTGACTCTTTCCTAGGGAGGGACAAGACATCAGCTCACAGGGCAAGGGCTGATGCTGATGGCTCTCTGTCTGGAGGGAAGGGCAGAAAACAATCTGTAGAGGATATCTCATCACCATGGAGCAGCCCAAGGACACCTGGGGACCAGGAGGCGGTTGTCAGGTCTGTGCATGAGTAGAAACTCTCATTCTTTCACCATGCAGACTTGGGAACCCTTTGTGTACACCTGCTCAGCAATAGCTCCTAGTGTGACAGACATGAGAATGAGTGAAACCCTTGCTCTCATGCTGCTGTGTGTCAGTCAGAAAGTTATTGCTGTGACAGATGGGGCCAGGTTGGACAGCCCCGCCTCACAGCTGCAGTTTCAGCTGGAGTCTGACCTGCAAGAGTCAGGTTCAGAGGCAGGACTGGTACCACTGTTGCCAATTGTGGGCAGGTGATGCTAATTTCCAGATCTGGCATTCTTGTGTTTGGTTTTTGCTGTTGCTGTAAGAGCCAGGGTGTTTGCAGTTGTTGATGTTATAGTGGTGGTCAGGGTCTGGTTGTTGCTTATGTTAAAGTTGTAGCAGTTGTTTTATTGTGGTGTTGGTTCTTATTGTTGTGATTGTCAATGTATGGCTGTTGCAGTGTTTGTTGATGATGTCATTGTGGGTGTGAGTGAAGTAGTGGGTATTGATTTTGTAATTGTGTTGGTTGATGTCATGGTAGTTGTTGATAATGTGGTTATGGTAATTGTTGTAGTGGTTGATATCATGGTGATTATTGTGACTGTGGTGGTAATTATTACTGGTGCTACTGTGGTTGTAGTTGTTACTCTTATTGCTCTTGATGATATTGTTGATGTTGTCATAGTTGTTACTATATTGTGGCTTTGTTGTTGTTATTTTGGCCGTGATCATGGTCATGGTTACTGACATTATAGTGGCTGTGCACCAAGTTGTGTGGTTATTGTGCTTGTTGATCATGTCATTTTGATTGATGCTGATGGAGTGGTTATTGCCCTTGTGGTTAGGCAGTGGTTGCCGATGTTACAGTTGTGGTGATTGATGTTGTCATGGTCGTCATGGTCATGATGGTGATGTTTAGTGCTTGCTGCCAATGATGTTACTGTGGTTGTGCTTGAGGGAGGGGTTGCTGATGTTATAGTTGATGTTTGGTGGTCATGGTTGATGACTTCATAGATGTTGCTGATGAGGTTATTGTGGTTGTGGTCATGATGGTAGTTGTTAATGTGGTGACTGCTATCGCTGATGATGTCATTGTGGTTGTAGCTGAAGTGGTGACTGCTGGTGTTTGGTGGTTGGTGTTGTGGTGTTGATTGTTGATGATGTCATAGATATTGCTGATGAGGTTATTGCTGCTGTGACAGGACGGCAGCTGTGAACATTGTCATGTTGGTGGCTGCTCCGTGGTTGCTGCTGCTGTTGCTGCTGTGGCTGTGGTGGGGGTGGTGGGGGCTGCTGACACTGTACATGTCATAGGGGTTTTTATCTTTGTGGTGGTGACTGCTGTGATATTGTGGTTGTGGTGGTTGTTGGAATTTGCACTGTTGTCTGTGTTTCCAGGTATACCTAGATGGCCCCTTTCTCAGATAGCCACACTTCCTTCCTTTATTTATTAATAGACAAATTAATCAAGATAAGCAACTGCAGATCTGGAGCACCTGTTCTCATCAAGTGCTCTGTCCATGCCACTTCTCAGGACCCTCTATTAGGGACAGTGACCCCAATCTTTGGGGCAATATTCCACCCCCAGACAATTTAAATAATTTTTCCAATAAAATTTCCATGAGATTCTTTCAAAAATTTTATGAGTCTAAATATATAGCACCAGCTGTGTCTGATCATCTTTTCTTCTCTTTTAGCCCTGTTGGGAGAAGACAAGCAATAAAGAACCTCTGGCATGATTTGTTCCTGTGAGTCCCCTCACATTTCCGCATAGGATTCCAGGAGCTTCCATTTCCTTTCCTAATTTTTCCATTATTATTTATTTATTTGAAAATATTCTGTGAAGCAACTTCTAAAAGCAGCTTTGCTCCCAACTTACATAAGGCCAGGGGTCTATCCATGAGGGCTTTACATCCCAGCCAGCCGGGATCTCCAGCACTGGGCTCTGGCCCAAGGGAGACAGGCGGGGTTCCAGCCTGGCCAACCTTACTCCCTTCCAGCTGCTGGCTCCTGTCCTCAGGCTGGGAGCAATCGCTGAGTCTCAGCTTCATTGATAACTTGGGGACTATGACACCAACCTTCAGGGCAGCCTAAGACTGCAGGAGCACAGCACAGAAAGCTGGTGATGAGAGGCTTGTCCTGGGAACACAGTCTCCCCTGGTGCAGTGAACTTGAGCAGATGCATCTCCAAGCACACCCGCCTGCAGCCGCCCTCACCCTGTCCCCTGGAACATCTTTGCCTGCCTGGCACCCTGGCAGGGTGTTCTCTAGGTACACAAGCATCTCCTTCCTTGTTCATTCCTGAGGTTGCATGTGTGACCCCAGCCTTCCCTGTGCAGGCCCTGACAGAAGCTGGATGGCACATTGTTGGTAACCACAGCAAGAACTTGATGATCCTGCCTCCAAAGTGACGTCCCCTGTGAGGAGATGGGACCAGTGGGGTGGGGAAGGCATTGCAGAAGGTAAATGGAGGACTCCAGATTCATAAACTGTTAAGAACCTCATGTTAGTGATAGCAAGAGGTCAAACCTCACTCAAGGCCCCATGAGAGGCACAGGCCTTGGGTCCTCAAAGGCATCTGCAGAGGAGGGTGTACTGCCCGTCACTGACTCTACTCAGGGCATGGCCTTTTTTTATTCCATCCTTTTCAGGATCCAGAGGCTGGTACAGCCCTCCCTGTCCTGGATGAGGGACCAATTGAGGGCTGGAAGTCTGCGTGATTTCCTAGGGGACCTTCCACCAAGTGTGCACTCTGCTGGTCTCCAATTCTACCTGGCTGGGTGAGAGGTGGAAATGGCCCAAAGTCCAGGTGGCCTTGCTCAAGGCTTCAGTCCCCATGGACTGAAGACCACAAGTCTCTAGATTTAGGCTTCCAATCCCATCTTTACTGCAGGCCAGCTATGTGCGAGGGACCAGGAATTTAACTGCTCTGGGCCTCCGAGTTTTCATCTCACAGAGAGGGGACCATGCATCCCAAGTTGCTGAGCACCTCAGGAGTGCGGCTGTCAGCAGCACGCTGTGGATCATGCAGTCAACTCCTGGCCCCCTTGGAAAGCTGACAACGTGATTTTGCTCTGAGGCAGCCTGTGGATGAGGCCACCCGGACCCAACTGGCTGTGCCCAACAGCAGAGGCAGCTGAAGCTGGGGCTCCCGAGGGCACTCACCTGGGGCTCATGTTGTACAAGAGCTGGCTCAGGGTAATTTGTTGTAATAAGCCATCTCCACTGCAGTCTCCCTCGGCAGAGGTTTGAAATACAGCAGGTCTCATTTAAGGCAGAAGGATGATAATGGGCCCAGTGCTGGAGAAAACCAGCTACTTTAGAGTCTAATCAGTCTTCATCAGAACCAACCCATTAAAGGAAAAGTGTGCCTGGCTCCATACAGAGCATTTGCATATTTTTCAAGTTCTTAACAGAGAAAAATCTGGAGGTGTCAAGATGGGCACCTCAGGACAGCACTTAAACCCTTCAAAGTAAATGAGAGGTGACATCTTTAATGAAGGGAGAGGCGGAGGGAGAGGAAGATACCTTCCGTCCCCTAGCCACTCCTGTTCCTCCCACAAGCCGGGAATCCTCTGGGAGCAAGCAGCCAGGCACAAAGGGAGATGGGGTCAGCCGGAGAAGTTTGAGTGCAGCTTCTTCTTTGCCATTCAAACCCCACTGCCACTCGTATCTTGGACTCATATCCTGGCCGTGTGGGGCTGGCGGCAGATCTGGTGCTGATTTCACGGCACAGTGGCTCCTGACTTCTGTGGATGTTCAAGGAGCACCAAGGTCCCCAGAGCCAGCCTTGCTCCAGTGCTGCCTTGGAAATCAGAAGGGATGCCACAGGCCAGGGATCTCTCCTGAGCATGAGGTTTTGGTGATGGGCAAAGGGCTCTCTGTTGCAGGAGCTCTGACTGAGCTTCACAGGAGTTTCCAAGCTTGGGAGCTGGAGTGCACAGGACCAGCCTCTCCCCTTGTCCCAGAACTGAGCCTCAACATTCTTGGGTGGGGTCTGCAATGAGAAGGGCACAGAGGAGAGAGATCTGTCACACAGAATTTGGGAGTGGCCCCCGCTCTCCCGCAGCTGTCCTGGCTTGGGGTTTTTGCTGCTTCACTCCGACTGGCCATACTGGACTTGATACGGCTGATCCTTGTAAAGAAACAGGTTTGTTTATTATTATTTTTTTTAACCTGGGTGAGGCTTCCCTATCACAGAAAATATCCCCCCAGCCAGTATACTTCAGTGTATTAGTTGTTCAGGTTAGTAGTTCCTGTTCCAGTTCCAATTGCTTCTGGTCTCTTAGAAATGGCTGGTCACTGTGATGCACACTGACTAAACCAATCCCCAACTGACAAACCATTCTGTCTATGTACTTCCTGCTTGTTTATTCTAAATATGCCCGAGACCACCAGAAAGTATGGCTTGATATTCTGGGAATGATCCTGTTCAGTGCCCTTTCACATAAAAAAATCTGCCTCAAAGTCTTGGGTGTCGTTTCAGTGTTTATGCTTGCCACAGCATCTGGTGCCTTGGCTGGGAAAACTGACCATGATGACCTCTTTAGTCACTGGTCATGGTCCTTGTGGATGGAGGAGGGACATCTCCAGGTCCTGATGGGAAGGAATGTCCTCAAGATTTCTGGAGCCCTCTTGGAGGTCTGGAGGAAGATTCATGGCCCCTTGCTTGAATGGCTCACATTGGACCCCAAAGGTAGGAGGATGCAATCTATGTTTCTGCCTGCCTGCTGGATTTTGGTAAGACCGTGCAGGCACCCTAGTTAGTCAGTCTGTTAGTCCTGCTTAGTTCAAGCAGAAGAGCTTGATCAACTCTTATTAGTTAAGTCCACCCTCAAGGGAAGGGGGGTTGGAATGTTTAACCTCTGAGTGCCTGCTGAATGAATGTGTGAGTGAGAATAAGCAATAGGGTGTTCCATCTGTGCACCAAGACTGGGAAGCACTGGTCACAGTGGCTTACTGGGTCCTCACCTGCAGTTCCGTGGTGATCCACATGTGACATAATGGAGGCCTCTCACCCTCCTTAGCTAAGTTGCACCTAAATCCCCACAAGGGGCACAGACAGGTGGGCATCTGAATGGTCTCTCTCTGAAGGGCACCTGCCCTTTGTCTGTTGTGCCATCATTCAAAGGTAGACAACTTAAACCATAGGGAGATAAAATGGGAACTAACTAGTTAAAACCCACAGTCCCTGACTGCAGGAAAAGGGGCTTTTATGGAGTTAAAAATGAAACCAGGGGCTGGGGATTTAGCTCAGTGGCACAGCACCTGCCTGGCAAGTGCAAGGTCATGAGTTCGATTCCTGGTACTGGAAAAAAAACAAAGCAAACCAAAACAAAACAAAATGAATCCAAACCACTCCTTGCATCTCAGAAGAAAAAGAAAAAGAAGAAAGAGGCCCATTGTTCCTGTGAATTCCACCTTGGCACCCTCATCAGCTGCTGCGGCTGCTGCCAACACCTATAGCTTCACTCCCCACTCCCAGCTCATCTACTTCCAGCCAATTAAATCAGTTCCAGTTTAATTGGCAGTTCTGTGGCCTGCATTCAGCCACAGAAGCCCCCCAGAGACACACATTCCTGGTCAGATGGCATCATCTAATGCCCACTCGAGATTAACAATTCCTTCTGAGTTCCACATTTTGACTGAAAATAATTGGACTGTCAGGCCTGATGAATGAGTTGCACCCCGTCGAGCCTGAACCGATAGTATAGACCAAACTCTATCAAATTGCCCACAGTCACTGCAAAACTTGGGGGCAAACCTGCAACTTTCCTGGTAGACAATGGAACAGAACTCTCTGCCTTCAAAAGTTCCCTCTGTCAAAGAGTTACCATCACCAGGATAACTGGGGCTCTTGCTACTTGCTCCTCCTGTAAAGCACAAACTTACAGCCTGGGAGGATATCACCTTTGCACCAAGCCAGTCAGCCTCCCTCTCATTTAAAACTTTGACTGTTCCTGGAGAAAAAGATGATGGCTGTATCAACCTGAGACAGATAACCAGAATCCTGAACTTCTGAAAACTCTTCTCCCAGAGGTATGAAGAAGACTCACCTTTGGGTCTGACCATAAACCATGCCACCTCACTGCCACTCTTTTTGCTGCCAAATGGCACAGGGAGCTTGAACAGGCAACCAACATGCTTGCTTCTGCTTGCAAGTTGTTCCCATAAACCCCTTCAACTGGGAAAGTCCTGAGTTAAAAGTTCAGCTCACTTGGACTCAGTTGCTGTAAGGGGTTAAAATCTCTCCCACTTTGGCTCTACACCTGTGTTCTGCATGACAAGAAAGTCATCCTTGTTGTCAAAACAAACCTACAAGGCCATCTGAGAGGCTCTCAGAGTCAGTCTAAGCCAGAAAAGCTTTATCCTGTTCTGTCTGAGGACCCCAAGTCCGACCTGCCTCCTCCTTACAGCATCAACACCAAGCTGCTCAGCCAGCCATGATGCCACCAGTGCCAGTTCTGTCTCCTGCACCACAGTCTCCTGATCTAGTGTCAGCAACTCTTGATTCTGTTTAATACAGAAGAATACCACCATATTTTAGATGGGGCCCAAGCTTGGTTAAAGTCAAAAGTCCCCATCACTGTGTTGATCCTGATGCTTGGGTGAACACAGTCCTCCCCTGAGCATGTCCAGACTGGGACTGTAATGTGACAGAGATCCATGAAGCCGAAGATCAGTACTGCATTGCTCTCCTGGCAGAGGGGGAGGCAAGAAGCCAAAAAACATGTCTAAAGTTATTAAAGGTACCAACTGGAGCCCCCACTGAAAGTCTGCTTGAACAGATCCTGTGAGATTCATGGGCACTTTGTCAAACATGAATTTCTGTAAATGCTTGAATGCCCTATACCTCTCCTTGGACATGACCAGCCTCCCTCACCCTCAGGCCCACTGTCCGGGATTTGATATTGACTCCAAGTGTACCCTACAAGAAAAAATAGCACCTACATCAGCCTAAAATGCCTCATACTCATAACGCTGAAAATTTGAGACTCATTTCCATAAGTATGGACAAAGGACTCACCCCCAGCTCTTGCCATCAGTCATCCGTCTTTGGTGATTGAGCTCTGTCCCAAGGTAACCCCCACCTGCATCACACAGTACACCCCTCCTGCCTGTAAAGCCAGTTCAAGATCTCCAAGCTGCCAGTGCTGCTGCCATTGCCCTCCCCTTACATTGCCTCAGTTTTCTGCTATCCACAGCCTGCTGATACACCTACCTGGACCTAAAAAATACTTGTGCCTTGGATTGGCTCCTGTCAGCCAGTCCTTCTTTACCTTTAAATGGGAAGGTCTCAGTTCTGATCTCAAACTCAGCTGACCTGTACTCAACTTCTAAGATGTTCAAAAACTTGTTTCCTCTTTCTGCATTTCTTCTTTTTTTTTTTTTTTTTTTTGGTTTTTCTCCAGTACCGGGAACTGAACTCATGACATTGCGCTTCCCAGGCAGACGCTTTGCCGCTGAGCTAAATCCCCAGCCCCTCTTTCTGCATTTCTGATTGATAACACCAAGCTGCCTGCTGGAAAGGCACAAAAGCTCTGCTACAATATCTGGCAGAAAGTGGTTCCATGCTGTCACAGTCACTGTCCTTCAAATCAAGAAAGCTGAGAAGTTCACGTTAGGCTGAAACTAATTGTCTAAGTGCCACATGCTGTACAGGCATGAATTGCTCTTAAAATGGACCCCCTGACAGATGCTGAGTGCACCCTGTTTATTGGTGGAAGTAGCTCTGTTAGGAATGGGGTCTGACAGGCAAGATACGCTGTGGTCACCTTGGACAAAACTATTTTGGTCAAAACTCTCCTGCAGGGATGATCTCCACAGCAAGCTGCTTCCTGTTGCTGTTGGGAAACCTGCCAGCAATGACAAAAAATAATCTGATCCAGAGGCTTAAACCCCCTCCAGGGATCCAATCAACTAAAAACTCAGTATTCCTGGAAGATCAGAGCCAGTCCTGTCCCCATCATTTGTTCTGCAAGCTCAAGCCACTGTGTTGAAACCCATACCCATGCAGCCAGCTCAGGCTTTAGTGTCTGTGTCACCAGCCCTGACCTCCCATTCCCTACCCCTACTGAAAAAAAATTGGAAGGTCCTTCTGTAAAAAAGAATCCCTAGATATGGCCTACCCTTCATCATTGTCAGCCACAATGGGCCTGCAGGGATAACTCAAAAACTAGATTAAACAAAAACTACATACAGCTTGTAACCAGTTAAAAGACCAGCTATAGCTGTAGACATTCCTGCACACACATGTAACCCAGGTACATATTAACTACCTCTAGAAGTTTCAAAAATTCAGCCTTTGATCCACTGATAAATTTACCTGGACAGCTCCTTTGAGGCTCACTCTGAAGAGGTTATGCACATTGACTAGTACACTCAGCTGAAGTCTGAGGACATTGTTCACAGGATTGCTGTGTACCTATTCTCCTTGATTTTTGTATCTTTTCAGGCTGCTTATCTGAGTCTTTGCTTCCCTGCCCCACTGCTAGCTTTTTTTGTTGTTAATTGACCTGTATTCTATTTACCCCAGTCCTTGCTTCCCCTGCTAGTTATGTGTTTATTTGTTGTTTGTTTGTTTTGCCTTAAACTGTATGGATGGTTGACCCAAGCAAATAAAACAATCAAGTACTTGACCAAGATTTGATGAATGTCCAAGGCACCACTGACATGTTCCTAGATCGGATTAACTCCCTCACTACCTTGCCGGAGTAATGTTACAGAACAGACAGGCCTAAATTATATCTCCTCCTAAAAAGTAACTTTGAAAAAGCTCTGTAATAAGACTATCTTGGAGACCTTGGCTAGAGCCCATCCTAGGATCACTGACAACCCTGATGTTACTTCTTGTTGGGCTTTGTCTCAGAAAATCACATGTAATATGCCCAGCAAAGATTTGCAGGGGAAACCAAGAGAGGGGGAAAATGTAACAAAAAAATGCTCCCCAGCCAGTATACTTCAGTTTTTCAGTTGCCCAGGTAATAGTTCCTGTTCCAGGTCTGGTTGCTTCTGTCTCTTAGAAACAGCTGGTCATTGTGATGCAAGCTGGTCTTACAATGTACATTGTATAATCCAATCCCCAATTGACAAGCAATTTTGCCTCTTTACTTCCTGCTTACTTATCCTGCATAAGCTCTAGACCACCAGAGATCAGGGCTTGATATTCTGGGAATGATGTGGATCAGCGCCCGTGGACGTAAGTAAATCTACCTCCAAATTCTGGGCATTGTTTAGGTATTTCTACGTGCTGTGACATCCCAGCAGGCAGTATCTGAATTTAGTTTGCAGATTCCCAACCCTGGGCTATCAGGCACCTCTAGGAGCTGAGTATGGCCCAGGTGCTGCCAGCAGGAAATCAGGGACCTCAGCTCTGCATGGCAAGGAAGTGGTTCTGTCAAAAATGTGAGCTCTGGAAAGGGACATGGCCAGGTGGACAGCTGACAGCAGCTGGGAAACTCCTGGAGAGAAGCCAGCTTGGCCATTCTCAGACCCCTCTCCTACAGATGGGAGAAGGTGGGTGGGTGCTCTGTACTGTGGCAGCTGGTCAGGTTCCCCAGGAGGGGCAGAGCTGGTGGCCGAAGAGGGTGGGCCCTGTGTTCACATCACCTGGTGCTACCACCCAGTGCCCCCATGTTTTCCACGTGGGACAGGCTTTTGTGATGTGCTCCTGCAGCAGCTCCCCCTTTCCTGTTCTTATCCAGCTGTGGGTTCCTCTCCTCCCCACTCTGTCAGGAGAGACTGTGCTAGGACAGGGATGGGACCCCTTTCCACCCCAGCACCAGCCCAATCTCCTGCAGCATGGTAACAACCATGAGATGTGTTGAGTTTGCTAGCTCAGTGATGTCTTCTGCATCTCTCTAGCCTCGTCACCCGTAGCTTGAGGTGTGGAGATGAAGAAGCACTCACCAACAGTGGAAAGCCCCACAGGCACAAGGACTTCTGTAGGATTTTACACATCAGGCAGGAAACCACCCTCAGCTTCAAAAGGGGTGAGTCAAGAAAGAAAACACCAGAGAAAGACAGGTGAACTCTGATCAAGCTATGCCTGAAAGCAATTCATCTCTGCATTTTCCTTACTGTTATACGTCCCAGTGGAGTTTTCACCCTTGGCAACCCAAAGCCCTGCCAATGAACTCTGTAGGAAGGGCAGCTAACATTCCGTTTTATAGATAAGCATGAGGTTTCAAACGTGTAACCAAATAGTATCAGAAAACCCCCAGAGCCAGAAATTGTCAAACACAAAAATAAAGTAGCATTTCTTCCTAATAGGCAGTGAGCAGAATTCAAATATGGTTCCCACAACTGCCAGCCCTTGTAAAAGTAACCAGTGTGTCGGTGCCCCTTGGTTGTGGACAGAATACCTCTCCTGTGATTAGATTACAGCTTCTGGCAAAGGTGAAGGGATTTGCAGGAGTTGCTAAGGTCCAGATATTGCATTCATCACAGGAAGTGTGTCTTTGGTGGACCTGACTTAATCAGGTGAACCCTTAAAGTGGACACAAAGCAATGGGTGCCCTCCTGCAGTCCTGTAAGGAAGCACACTGTCATACAGTGTTGGGACACCAAGCAGGGAGTGGTGCCAGCCACAGGGCCAAGGGCTTCAGGTATACAGGACAGGGCTTTGCTAGCCAGTGAGTTTAGCCTTAGGGAAACTGGGGTCCCTGCACAAAGCCAGGCTTCAGCTAGTGAGATCCTGAGCAGAGGCTAACTGGAACCCAGAATTCTGGCTCAGGAGAGGTGAGATGACCAATCGTGTGAGGCTCCTAAATTGTGGCAATTTCTTCCACAGAACAGAAAACTAATGTATAGAAAAGCTCACCACTCCATGGACCAGTTTACAGCCAAAGATTAAAGTACCCAGGCCTGTATATCCATCCTATATATATCCATACATCTATCTCTCTCTCCACTCACCCACCTCTCCATCCATCTCTCTATTCCTCAATCCATCCATCCACTTCTCCATCTGTCCATCTCTCCATCTATCCATTTCCCCATCCATCCATCCATCCATTTCTCCATCCATCCATCCATCCATCTCTCCATCTATCCATTTCTCCATCCATCCATCCTTCCATCCATCCATCCATCCATCCATCCATCCTTCCATCCATCCATCCATCCATCCATCCATCCATCCATCCGTCCATCCTTCCATCCATCCATCCACTCATCCATCTGTCGTGTGGAAAGGAACCAGATTCTGTGATTTCTGTCTCTCCACCCATCCATCTCTCCATCCATTTCTCCATCCATCCATCTATCCATCTGTCCATCCATCCATCATCCAGACACTCAGGGTAAGCCCCCTTTTGACTAAAACAAGCTAAGTGAATTGGGTCCTTCATTACCCCTGCAAAGTCCTTACTCTTCACCATCTGGTGTGATTCAGTCGTGGGTGTGGCCTTCTGTTGCATTCTTGTACAACGTGTTTTTACTTGCATATCTGGACCAACCACAACACATTATCCCCCATCACTCCCCTTTGGCTTCATTAACTGAGCCTCCTCATCCTTACAGCCAAGGTTACCAACCCGCAAGTCATGTAACTTGGCCAGTGTGGCCTAGCCAGATGCTGTACTTGTAGGCTTCTGCCTCCACCCTTTACAAACACAAAGTGCAATCCTGGCTTGGTGGTGGGATTTAGACCTAGCCACAGCATCTTCCTGTGACTCTCTTTCTGTTTTAACATGTCATTAGTCCCTGTTTGCCATACAGAATGATTATATCCATTGTGGAGAGTTGCTACATGTACAGGACACATCTGAATTCTTTTTGCCTTCCTTTCTATCTCCTGATCTCTTTCCCACTTGCAAGAGCCCCATTTCCTCATTACCTGTTACCCACCACTGCTTCCTTCCCAGGAAGGAGGAAAGATGCTTTGTAACGACTGAAATGGATCCCGTGCCAGAGGTGCCTGGAATTCCGTGGGTGTAGGTGGCAGGTTATGTGCCCTCTTCTCCGCACTGGAATTCCTGTTTCTGTAATCAGAGCTTGCGCTGTGCACAGGGATTGTGACACCTTTCCTGTGGGTGCTGAGGAGGGGAGAAGGTGATGTCATCACAGCTGGTGCACTTGCATCAGGGCAGCACCTGCCTGGACCCTAAACCCTCACTTCTTCCCATTTCTTCTCCCCTCAAACTCTTCCAAAATCCTACTTATCATCACAGGACCCCACTCACTGTATTTCAGTGTGTCCAAGCTGCTCAAGTTATGTCTAATTAGATAGGCTTAATTGATATTAAGACAAATAACTTCCAATTACTTTTTCCCTGTGAAATTGAGACTTATTGGAGGGCAACCATCTCTAATTTAAATCAGTGAATTAAAACAAATGTGATTTAGTGGTTCCTGAAAGGAGAGGGGAATTTTAATATGCAATCAACTCATCCCTGCTAACGGTTGGGTGCAAATTCTAAAACACATTAATCAACCGTGGATGCCACAGCCAGGGACAGCGCGTGGCCTTGGGTACACCGACAAGCAGCAAGGATTTCAGGGCCAGCGGCACTGGGCTTCCTGGACCCCTGCAGGTGACTCCCTCCCTGCTGTCTCATTTTCTCTGACTGAGAGCTGAAAAGGCTGGTCTTCAAGCATGATGCCCAGTATCTACAGAAAGCACGCTTGACACTTATTTCTGCTGTTTGCCATCCACGCCGCCTCTTTTCTTGTTTTAGACACCCACTGGCATCCAAGTCTGAGGTTCAAAAACGTATCAAAGTAACCCCCCCGCCCCACCGGACTGCACAGCAACATAGGAAGTGACAGGTCTCACCGTGAGAAGGTGAACACGCCCCCTGCATGCTACCAGGGGGTTGTCCCAAAGGGGACACTGAGGCAAAGGTGTAGCACCAAGCCTGGGCAGCCAGCAGGGGCGCATCCAGCTCCTGGTGGGAAAGGCACCCTGGGAAGCTAAACACGGCTTGATGTTGTTTTCAGCTTCTATCTTGACTTTTTTTAAATGCCAACTTTATCTTTAGATTTCACATTCTATGTAAGTTGTGAAAAATGAGTGAATACTGAATTAGTTATGATTCTTTCTATGGAAAGTGACAAAACTTGACACAAACTGTCTTCGGCAAAAATAGGAATTTATTGGCTCAGGCAATTGAAAATCTTGGGATGAATTCAGCTTAAGGCAGAGTTATAACCAAGAGAGCAAGCACAGCTCTCAGCACTCCGGGCGTGGTGCTCCCCCTGCCAGCTCCAGCCTCGGCTCCGGCTCTGCCCGCCTGCCTGTGCCACGGCAGGTGGATGGGGCGCTGCAGGCACGCAGCCTCTCATGTCATGGGGACCGTGAAGGGTACGAGGAGCTTTCTGGAATCCTGCCTCTGTTTAAAGGGGTGGGGGTTCACTCGGTGTGTGGGGTCAGGGGCTCCTGGTTCCTGCTCACGTTTAGCTCTGGGGCCCCTGGCACGTTATTAGCCTCTCTGCTCCTTAGGGGCAGAAGGGAATGGTCCACACCCCAGAGGGCCATGATGAGCCATCCATGGAACGGACAGACAAGTGCAGAGGGCGCAGGCTGGAGGAGCCAGCGTCGTAGGCTGCCCTGAGTCAGCTGCTGGCCCGGAAGGACATCGGGAGCCTGCGCTCAGGCTGAGCTCCAGGCACACCACCGGGACAGAGACAGGAGCGGCAGATGCTGTGCTGGGCTCACACTGTTCACAGGGCCCAAACGCTCCTGGACCCACAGTCCTGCCCCGGTGTGCTTGGGACCCGCATGTTGCAGAGCGCAGTGATTCTGCAGTTTCTGGAGTGTGTGGATCTGCTCCTTCTCTGCCTGGCAGGAGGTGGAAAGGTGGCACTTGCTCATGGGCAGGGTTGTTCTGCTGGGGCCTGGAGGGCACGCTCAGCACTGAGCTCCTTGTTACAAACTCGCCCCAGCTCCTGGCTCTCACACACAGGGCCACTGCACAGCAGGCATCCTGGGAGCTGTGTCCCTCCTCGGTGTCCACTCAGATGGATCCCACCACCCACAATTCCATCACGGAGCTTCCGCTGCTCTGACCCAAGAGGCTTCCTTGGCTCCCCCTACCTTGGCGTGGGTGCAACCCCTAGAGTTTTACCTTGGCGATTACACAGGGAGTTGGGATGGAAGGGAAGGGGTAGGGTTGCAGCAGGGCACAGGCTTGGATCCGGAAACTTGGGGCCTTGGAGGAATGGAGACACAGCACAGAGCCTCAGTCTTCTCACCGGTGGATGAGAAATGTGATCTCCTCCTTGCTGTCCTGATGTGTGGGTGAAGAAAGGACAAGTACACCTGCAAGTGGTAGACAGCAGGAGACTGTGTTTCAGGAAAGTGGCGTTGCATCACCGCGCTGAGATCCTGACCTGCCCATTCTTGCACTCACCCATTCATCACTCATTGATTCAATCATTGATTCGCCCATTCATTCACACATGCATCCACTCACTCATTCGTCCTTCCGTCGTCACTCACTGGCCCATTCCTTCACACACACATTCATACCCACCCACTCACTTGTTCATTTACTCATTCATGCATTCAGTATGACACGGAGTCTGTCTTCCTAGGGGTTGGACATTTGCAGAAGATGTATCTCTCTCCATTGGTCCTCCAGTCATGACCAGCTAATGGATAGCTCTTGATTCTGGGCTTTATTTGCAAATAACTTTGAAGTCTGTGACCCTTGAGGGCTTTAAGTACAAGGAAGGGATGTTAATAAAATCCTCCAAATTAGGCCAGGTTACAAAAGAAGAAGGCATTCTTTTCTTGATTGTTTAAGTGCTAATCGGATACCCTTGTCCCAGAGCCCCCAATGCAACTCCAAGCCCTGGTCATCTGGCCCAGCACTTGCCAATTTCCTCTGAACCAGAGCACCTGCCGTTCTTGGCCCTGGGCTGCATCCCCTTGTGGGATAATCCTAGAGTAAAGGTTGCTCTGCTCAGCAGGGTCTGTCTCCTAGGCTCCCCCACGCCTAGTAACAGAGTATCCTGGGCAAGTTGGTTTTTGGCCTCAGCTTCCTCACTGTAAAGCAGGGAGCAAGCAGGATCACCCCTCGGGTCTCTTGCATGGCCAGGGCCTGGCAAATGGGCCATCTCCATAGACCTGCAAGATGCCAGAGCAGGTAGTGCCCTGCTGAGCCTGCCTGCCCTCTCCTCCTCCTCCTCTTCCTGAGGTGGGTTTCCAGGTCAGATCTTCAAGTGAAAGACCTTGATAGACCCCCGGGTTCCACATTTCTCCTTGCTGTCAATATTACATTCAAGTGCTGTCAGATGCTCGGAGACAATCAGACACGGGAAAGCTGTGGCAATCTTGTTTTCCCACGTCCCCACATTCCTTGATAGATGCTCTATTTTCCAATCTTCATTTTTCCATCAAAAAAAGCCTCATTCGAAGTGTTGTTCCGACACGTTGAAAATATTCTCAGCATAATAGCTGGGTCTGAGAAGCAGGGTTTGTGTGTGTGTGTGTGTGTGTGTGTGTGTGTGTGTGTGTGTGTGTGTCCTGGTGAACCCGAGTGATGCAAAGGTGGTGTCAGCTCGCAGCTCATTAAACCAGGCACATTAAACATTATGAGATGACACCTCCTGTAGGAGCCCAGTGGGAAAGAACAGGAAACCACGGCCAGTTCGGGGCAGATGCCTCCCTGGCAGCCAACGCGCCTGGCACCGGATGCTGGCAGAGTGCTGTGGTCTGGGACTCTTAGCACAGTCCTGAGCTTGTTGATCAGGCAGGCACCATCCTTCCATGGCATCCCACTCACTGCCTGAGTATCAGGAGATGCTCACCTGCACTCTGGCTATTATAGACTTCACAGAACAGGGCACAGAGAGATTAAAGTTCATAGCAAGGACTACACATTCTTACCCTTTCCCCAGGGTTAGTGTCACCAAGAAACATCAGCTTTAATGAGCCTTTTCAAAGGTGAGATGTTGTAGAAGGAATGTGAGCTCTTGCAGGGCTGTACAGAAGCTGACAGCAGCGAGGAGGCCAATGCCCCTCACTCGTGAGAAGTGTGTGGCCCACAAGCCCAGGGGAAGAGACAGGCAGGGCTGGAACCTTGGTGGTCATCAAGGAAACAGTGCACCCCATCTCACGTTCAAGGAGACTGTGGATGCCACCGGATCAGCAGGGAACCCAAGACAGACCCAGCTTGGTGTGGAGCATTGTCTGACTAAGACCTGTCAAGGTGTCACCTGAGACCCAGCTTCACCTGCAGCAGGACGGAGGCTCCCAGGGGCTCAGCAGGACCCCTAAAAGACCCCCTTCTATGTCTAGTCCACCTCTCTCTCTGTACCTCTTCTGCTCCAGGCCTAGGTCAGTACCCATGCAGACATCACAATCTACAGCTATATTGGGGCTATGGTTAGAGACAGGTGCCTACGTCTCTAACCATCTCTGCATTCTCATGGAGAGGTGACAGACATCCAGATAAATATGGGGGAAGATACAGGGATCTATCTATATTCTTATTTCTACATGTATCTCCTTATCCATAGTATCTCACAGAGAAATGGACGAGCTATTCAGAGCAATACAAATGGAGATACAAGGCCTAGATCCCTATCTGTACGTCTCTATCCACCTCGGTCTCCATAGCATCTCAGAGAGGTGGGCAGAGGTAGCAAGGTAGACAGACATGGCTACGGACATGGGGAGTTATCTCGGCTCCTGTCTATGTTCCTGTCTGTGTCCACATCCATCTCTATATCCAGATCATCCCATAGAGACATGGACAGAGATATGGAAATAGATGTAGGAGAAGATCCAGGGATCTATCTACAGTCCTGCTGCTACATCCATCTCCATCACTGTACCTCACATAGAGATGGATAGAGATAGCAAGATAGACAGATAATAGATTCAGATGGAGGAATCCGTGTGTATTCATATCTTTATGTCTATGTCCCTGTATCCATCTATCTATCTAGATATTTACTTAGATGGATATCTCTCGATCTCTATCTCTGCATGGAAAGACATCTGTTTCTATAACTGCATCTCTCTGTATCCATTTGTATCAAGTTGGATGGCTGTAGACAGAGCTCTGCATCTCTACCGACAGGCAGCTGTGCATGTAGACATGGCATTATGACATCACCAGCTTGGTAGACATCTGTTAGGAGTCGTGTGGAAAGGAACCAGATTCTGTGACTGTGGGTCTGGCCGGGGAGAGGTGGCCGGCCAGCCTCATGAGGGACAGGTT